TATCCTACTTTTGGGGATTGGGTGGTCTCCCCAACTTCTCTTACGACCTATTCAAATGAGCTGGCTTTTTGAACTTGGGATCTATAATCGCTAATCATTCAGTGTATTGGTTATATTAATTTGTGTTACATTCTTTTTATCAAAATTGCGACCATAACCTCATGGTGGTACTTATTTTTTACTGCCTCTGTTCCAAATCAGTAATCTTTGAGTGAGTCTGAAGTAGTTTTACTCTTATCAGAACCTGACCAGATCATGGAGGGTGTTAAACCCAGTATTTTAATCAATATATGAATATAATGAAAATTTGTTTGACTCTAAAGTGACCCGTAAACTGACTTTTACCAAACCTGAATTTACCTGATGTGACTGATATGATTGATACTTTCAAGGGTATGTGCACATACCAAGGAGTTAGTAGCTATTGGCATTTATAATTGACAAAAAGTATCAGTTGAGATTCAATAGATGATTGATGTTTTTAGTGATTGATGTAGAAAAAAGGTTAACTAGACAGATTCTATGAAATGAAAGGAGCTTATCATTAGGGTTTTGCTTTGAAGTTTATATATGCACTATCCTTTCACAGCGAGTACTAAGGAGCCTAGAACATATGGGTTGTATGGTACTCCCTTTGTATAATAATGACCTTCATATTTATTGTGGTTATAGAAGCCAATGGAAGGAGTGAGTGTTCTTTGCTTTCTAAATAGGAGAGCGAATGTGATACTTAGAGAATGAGGTTTATGACTTTATGGAATGCCATGAAAGGGAAAGAGTGAAGATCATTATGGAACATAGGAAGTACTTGCATCAGTTTTTTGTATATTGTTGTCTTACTATGCTGGTTTTTGTTATTAGATTTTAGGAGGAGCTATTTATTGGTGATTCTGTGTTTCTGAATGTCTTTGGGGATCTCTAAATTTCTCAAATATCAATGGCAGACGGTTGAGTAAATTAGTTGGCTTGAAATTATTTTCACACAGATAGTAATAATATTGGTCCTGTGAAAAGATTGATAACTTTTGTTAGCTTTTTGGGGGATTGCTGATCTGGCTTTAAGCTAGAAAATAAGAATTGATGTTTTGTTAGAATTAAGAAGGCATATTGTGTGGATTAATTCAATGCTCTTTCAAGGATGAAGGAGCTACAATGATCTACCGTATCTATTGAGGATCACAAGAAAGCTGGATTCCTAGGAAGGCTCAGTTTCATCAGGATATTCTTCTGTAAGATTTAAGTGGCTGAAGTTCACCATCTTTAGTTATCAATGGGTGATTAGCAGGCTTTGTGTGATCTTTGGCTTGAGAATGGCTTGTTAGATTTTGGAGAGTGGTCACACTTGGTGCTAGTATACTTCTGCCATTGTCTTGGGTATTTGATGTGATATAAGGGGCTTGTGTATATTTGGAGTCATTTGCTTTGCTTCTATTTACAACTTTTGAGCTATATTAATTTTGTCTCCTTTATTCCTTTTTTTGGCTTGAACATTGTGTGTCTATACATTTTATTCCTACGTTCTATGTTTTTATTTATCTTATCTGTAACATGTTGATTCTGGACCCCTCATAGCTTTAATTAACATAAATCCTTCACCTACATTTGTTTTAGGACGGATCTAGTTCCTGCATATGTGCGACTACTAAGAGATAATGAAGCTGAAGTACGTATTGCAGCTGCTGGTAAAGTAACTAAGTTTTGTCGGATTTTGAGTCCTGAGCTCGCAATCCAACATATTCTGCCTTGTGTTAAGGTATATGACTATATTAAATTATTTTTATGTGTAAACTTTTGTTATTTGTGAACATTTTTTATTAATGGTAGGTATGCTTTTTTAAAATTTGTTTTTATGTTATTGTACAGGACTTGTCATCTGATTCTTCTCAGCATGTTCGCTCTGCTTTGGCATCTGTGATCATGGGAATGGCCCCTGTTTTAGGAAAGGTAAAAATATAAGGGATTAGCCTGCTACTCTGCTTACTGAATTTATCTTCCAGTTATGATGGAAGACTAAAGGATTCTGCTGCTTTGTTTCATTTGAGTACTCTTTTATTTAGTACTCAATAAGTCAATATTCCATGCAATTTTCTCTCTTTGATTGTTTTTTTTTTTTTCATTATGAAATTCCAGTTATATGAATTAGAGAAATTTTCTGTATGATTCTCAAGTTGGTGTGCTTGAAAATTTTACCACTTTCTGAATGGAATTGAGTTGGTATTGCAGGATGCTACAATTGAGCAACTTCTTCCAATCTTTCTTTCCCTCTTGAAGGATGAATTCCCAGATGTTCGTCTTAATATAATCAGCAAGCTCGATCAAGTAAATCAGGTCTGTTTAACAGTGTATTTTTGCTGTTTTTTTCCCTTACTTCCTGTTATGTTTGTATATCCTTTAGAATGTACATATGGCAAATCTAGATTTGGTAGTGGGCTGTGCTGGTGGTTGACCAGCACATATCCTAAGGGCTTGACTTATGCCAGCTTAAGGACTGTTCATGATTGAAATGCTATTTATTTGGAATATTAAGTTATTAACCAAAAACTGCCAGTGAATTTTATTCCAAGACATGTAAATCATGTTTTTAAGATGAATGTGCTTAATAACATGATTTACATGTCTTGCAATGCCAGCTTAAGGGCTGTTCACCCTGTTGTATGTCGGGTTTAGTGTGTTGGATCCCTCGTCATGACACGACACCCAAATATATAGTGGCCTTGTATATTTTGTTTAGCGTGTAGAAAATGTTACCCTCTATTTGCTTTAATTTTCTTACTGCCTCTAATCATGTTAAAGCTATTTTGTAGGTTATTGGCATTGATCTATTGTCTCAATCCCTCTTGCCTGCCATTGTGGAGCTTGCTGAAGATAGACATTGGAGAGTCCGGCTCGCAATTATAGAGTACATACCATTACTTGCAAGCCAACTGGGTGTTGGTTTTTTTGATGATAAACTTGGCGCCCTATGTATGCAATGGTTGCAGGATAAGGTTAGATTCAAGTTTTCTGATCCGTTCTCTAATTTTCTTCTGATTTCATTCATCTTTCAATTAAAACTTAGGTTTTTCTCATCCGCTACATTCCACCGAATGACCGAATACATCATTAGCAAGTCACCTATTTATCTGAACATGCTATTCACAAATTGTATATTTAGCTTGGTCTCAAGTATATGAGTGATAATGGACAAGGCCCACATTGTAGGTGTACTCTATTCGCGATGCTGCTGCTAATAATGTGAAGCGCCTTGCAGAAGAATTTGGTCCTGAGTGGGCCATGCAGCACATTGTTCCACAGGTATAGCTTTTGAGTTAATCTTCTTTCATATTTCCTCCCCAAAATTATCCATTGCCTACTGGCACTGGCTGAGTTTATCTCGCCTTGCACCTGGCAGTTTGGTGCAGTCCTTGAACCTCATCCCCATTGGTACCTCAACAATTACTCAAAAATCTTGAATGTTCAACTATTCCTCAAAAATACTAGGCTCTTCAATGTTTTCAAATTATTTTTTCACATTTTGCTGAGCTTTACTCTTCAATCTGATCTGAACTGGCAGGTTTTGGAGATGATGAGTAATCCACACTATCTGTACAGGATGACAATTTTGCATGCAGTTTCTCTACTTGCTCCTGTCTTGGGTTCTGAAATTACGTGCACAAAGTTATTGCCAGTTGTGATTACTGCCTCAAAAGACAGGTAATAACTCCATCAGTAGTAAAATATTCTTACATTTATTTAGGTGTTGGATTCCTGACGAATTCTTGTAATAATTGTTTAGGGTTCCCAACATAAAGTTCAACGTAGCAAAGGTGCTGCAATCCCTTGTACCAATTGTTGATCAGTCTGTAAGTAGATGCACCTCATACGTCATACCTTTAACATTTAATCTTATCCTACTGAGCTGCATACCTGATTATACATGAGGGTGTACTTTTAATGCAGGTGGTAGAGAAAACAATTCGGCCCTGTTTAGTTGAGTTGAATGAGGACCCTGATGTTGATGTTCGTTTCTTTGCAAACCAAGCGCTCCAATCCATTGATCATGTGATGATGTCTAGTTAAGGCAAGCTAGCTGAATGAGGTTCTTAAGGTTGGTATACTTCAGTCTGCAGAAAGGCGCTGTAGTTTCTATAGCATTCAGATGAAACATATCTTCTTGTAATCATGAGTTTTAGGTTCTGCTAGTTGCGTGTCTAAGTATTATATAACCGTAGAGAGCTCTCAGAGTGCACTCTTATTAATTGTACCGTTTCTTTGGCCTTCTTTTTCTTTGTTTTTTGTACAAATTATTTAATAATACTCCTAGTTGAAAACCATGCCTCTGGTTTGTTCATGAATTTTGCTGATCTTTTATCTGCGCCTATCTTCGCAATTTAGGTGGCCCTGTTTTATGTTGGTTAAAAAGTTCCATAATTCCAATTATAGTGCCATAATGTATTAATACCAAGTATTTATTTAAAGTTCGTAGTTCCTACATGATGTTATTGATTGTAAGGGTACCTGTAAATTATGATCTTTTATGTCGTATTACCTTAACGAAAATTTGCCCTTCCTTGAATAGTAGGAAACATTCTACAATCCAGTTATGTTTCGTTATTTGCAACAATATACCCCAACCCGTGTCGAGTATTTACATAAAATGCCACCTGATGTGCATTACAAGTCGATCAGGCTGATCGTCTTGTATTTCCTCGGCATCACAAGAGTAAACAGAACTTGTACCTCACTACTTGTCCCTCACTAGCATCTCGTTACAAATCGGCAAACGAAATACTAACTGATTTACAGTTCTCTTCTACTTCTTTCTCATCCTTTTTACCTATTTTCAATCTTGATTGGGTTAAACTCAAAGATGTAACATAATTAGATTCAATTAGATAATCCTTTACTACATATTACCTAAATTTTGGTAGATTTGACAAGTGGTTTGGATCTAAACTATGAAATTTTGGGAACCAATTAAACTGAACTAGGAATTGATATTCATTAGTACATGGAAATTATAGAGTATATGTAAAAATAAGATACTCCGTAGTAGCCTATAAAATAGTACAAGTATTAGTATTACAAAGCTTATTTGGTGTATAAAATAGTAGCTTAACATTATGTCTAAGGGACATCGTGTGCATAGTTATTTATATTTCAATAACTCTACAAAGTTCTATACAATACAATTGAAAAATATAAATATTGTAATAAAAAAATTTCTACCCTTAAATTTATGTAAATTCTACTCCTAACAATAATTGCTGAGTTAAATATCTATTTTTGGTTAATGAAGTCCACAATATGAGAAACCATTTCCTTCTTACGATTTTTTGAGAATTGGGAGTCATCCAAAACATGAAATGCATGTCCCACACCTTCAGAAATTAGATGCTCTACTTTGTTGCCCATATTCTTAGCTAAAACTGAGCATAATTCCAAATTCCTATCTTTTAGTATATCTTTCTCAGCAACACATATTATAACCTTCATATTCTCCAATTTTCTTGTACCATTCCCTAGTGGATTGCACCATGGATGGTCTCGGTCCGCCCCCGAGGGCAATGCTAATCGCCAATACGTATCAGATGCCACTAGACTCAATTTTGATTTACGCGATTGTACCTTAATTAACTCGGAGTTAGTCCTCTCTTCACCTCCGAAAAATGGTTGTATTAAGATAATTCCCTTAACAGGTAGGGGACTTATATCAGATGTACCAAGTTTTAAGGCCACATTATATGCCAAATTTGCACCAGAACTATCCCCACCCAAAAATATGCTAGAAAAGTCACAATATTTTGCCCAAAATTCACTATATTGACTCATCATAGCTTGTTGTTTTACCCAAATCAGGGCCTTCATTCCATCTTCATAGGCCGCCGGGAGGCGGTCCTCAGGGGCTAAACGGTAATTTACCGACACGATCAAACACCGTGTTTTAGATGATAATTTACCAAGGAAGTTGTGATAACATTTCCATGAAGTTGAACCAACACAAAACCCACCTCCATGAAAGTAAATCATAAGTGGAAACTTGTTACATTTTTCATAATCGTTACATTTTGGAACATATATACGTGCCCAAATATTGTTGACTTTATCAATAAAAACATCTCGAGCGTTGACTTCAATATCTTGAGCCAAGAACGGAGAAACACAAGGCATAACTTTAAGTGATCTCTCTACACAACCATTTTCATACAACTTGATTAGCCCTTCGACTTCTTCGATTATCAAGCCTCGATGATCATCCTCGGGTTTCGTGCCGTTTTCGAGACTAAGGTTGTGATCTAAGGCCATGGCTACCATCTTTTCAGGTTTAGACACAACCATGGTTGTTAAAAAAAGTTTAGTAGTAGTTTGAAAAAAAGAAATAAAAAGGGTGTGAATTAAGTCCCTTTTATTGTAGGGGGAGATGTTTTATAAGCTAAGTCAAGAATAAGCAATTTATATATTAGATGAGTTAGTTAAATATCATCCATTTATTGACTGCCATCTGTAAAATGTTTAGCTAACAATTACCAGAATTTTGTGATGAGGTTTCTAGGAAGGTCTCTTAATTGGTGGGTTTACTCGGTTTGTTCATTTTTACATGTTTTCCACTTTATACTTGCTTGTTTTTTTAATTGCATAATTAGTCTTTTTTAATTTATTCCTATCGTAAACATTGCTTGCTGTCTTTATCAACTTTCTACAGTTACTAGTAAAACGTGAAAAGCATTAATTCATATAATTATATAATTTTTCAATAATACACATTTGACCTTCAATAATATTTAATAACTAGTTAAACTGAATCTCGTCAAAATAAAACTAGTTAAACTTAATAGTATGTCAAAGGTGGATTTAAAAAGGTGTCCCTGTGATTTAGAAAAACCAAATATGTTACTCCCTCCGTTTCATAATATTAGTCTCATATGGAATCAACCACTTAAAATATATATATATATATATATATTTGGAATCTAACATTAAAGTGCAACATAATTCATAATTAGTTTACCTTATTTAACTTTTTTGATTTTTTTATTAGGAAAGCACAAGTCATAATTGCATAATTTAAGGTAAATATTTCCTTACTTGGAGTCATGTCATCAATTCAATACCAATTAATTCGAAAAAAATCAGTTATAAATGAAATATATTCAATATGGGCGTCACAATCTAATTTTCTTTCGAGTAAATGTGTGCCCTATGATTATTTTTGAAAATTATGATTGTCTTTCTATTGGAGTTACTCATGCCGTCATGCGTACTATATATCACCAATTGATTTTAGTATGGAACCTCCTTCAATCTTGTTTACAAACCTGAAATCTCCACTTCCTTGATTAGATTGCCCAAACCGTTTTGTATTATCTTAAAATTTTACAGTTAACTGCTAGTGAGAGTGTGAACCTAGACTATAGATATCAACATTTGATTATGACAACTCATACATTAATTTCCTGATTTCTTTGTTTTCAACCACACGTTTTTAATAATTAATTATTATGTATTCGAGTAGGGTCACAAATTCAGAACAACGATAAGCATCACTCCAATAGCTTGTAAGTTTACAAAAACACGGAGTAGTAAAATACTGAACACATTTACAAAAATAAAATATATTTTTTCTTTTACTTGCAACACTTTCTTAAAAAGGAAATGTCACAATACTTTCAACACACTATAAAAAAAGGAAAGTTACTTTAGGAAAAAACTATATTATTTCTCTTATTTAAAGCAAATGGACCCACTAAATTACACTCCTAACAACCACTCATCCTATTTTAAAATTTATTATATCATGCAAACCCCACATTTCTTAATTACCGCGCTAAAAGTTGTGTTGCATCTAAAAGAAAACGGAGGAAGTACTTCGTAGTAAAATAAAAACAAATTCACTATTAAGCATTGGGTCTTTTTCAAAATAAATAAATAAATAAATAAATAAGGTGCTATCATGATGTATGAGATTTGATAATTAACAATTAATAAATAAAGCGCATGAGTCATGTTACATTGTTACTTGCATAACTGCATTAACGATTAGGAGGAAATATAATAGGCAAAAGTCCATCATTTAACTTGTTTATTTCAAGAAAAAAAAAAAATTATTGGATACACTTATTATTGTCCTATTTTTGTATATCATGCAAATCTTTTATTGTAAATATGTTAGTCCTATTAATTAAGTACTCATTGATAGCAATTAAAGTAGATCTTATATCACTATGTTTGTTATTAGGAAATTTTGACATTTGCTATCAGGAAAAACACCTCGCTTTACGTTTGCTACCGGTTTATTCATTTTTAATTACTTTGCTACCACCTAAATCAGAGTTTGTTAAAAATCACTACCACTTGTTTTACATCGTTAGTATTTCAGTTACCACCACCCAACCACTGTCCAGCCACCACTCCTTCCCACCTACCAGCTGCCCAATCCACTGCCACTGTTCAACGTCAAACCCACCGCAACCAGCACCCAACAACCGTCCAGCCACCACTCCTTCCCCACCCACCAGCTGCCCAATCCCTTGCCGCGACTCCAGCCACCCAAACAACTCCCTAGCCTACTCCTTCTTCCTTTCCTCAACCGCTCAAACCACCATCAATTACCAACCCTTTCGCTGCCCCTTTCCCCTGTTCCCTCGCATCACCAACAATCCGCACCAACAGCCACCACAACCAATCCCAGCCATCACCAGCCGCCGCACGGAGCAGCAACGCCGTCCAGCTCCGCAACCAATCAGAGAAGTCGCATCAATCGAACCCAAATTCGCAAGCCCCTCCCCTCGAAAACCCGCCTCGATCCCAGCCAAAAACCCCAATTGAGCAAATTGCAAATCTAAAAAACATTAAACCGTAATGAGAGTGGAGAATATGTTGTTTGGTGCGGTAACGTCAAGGTGTTGTTTGGTGGAGAATGTGGGTGAAGGAGGAGGAAGAGCGGTTTTTATGTAGTTTTCCGGCGACGAGGTGGAGGACCATGGGAAGGGTGGCGTCAGTAGGGGGAGGGGGAGGGTGGCTAACGGGAGAAGCAAGGTGTTTTAAGGTGGCTGGTTTTTATTTATTTATTTTTATTTTTTCTTTTAATAAATTTAACGGAATCAGAATAAACTTAACAGAATCCTAACAGATTCCGTTAAGTGGTAGTGATTTTTAACAGATTCTGATTTAGGTGGTAGCAAAGTAAATAAATAATTAAATAAATAAATGATAAACTGGTAGCAAATGTGAAGTGAGGTGTTTTCCCTGGTAGCAAATGTCAAAATTTTCTTGTTATTATACTCCATCTGCAAATAGTTATTTGCAACATTTGCCATAAATGGAAGCTTCTATTATCTACAACAAATTTTTTTCTTTCCATGTTTAGTAAATTTTATACAATAAAATGACCATCTTACCCTTACTTTATTTTTCAAACTTTGTTTAACATCTTATAATATAATTACACTTACTTACCAACTAATACCACCTTACCCTAGCCAATTCGCCGCCTCTACCTGCCTACCACCAGACAAACCCAGAGCACCACCCCCACCGCAACTATACCCCATCGTCGCGCCATTCTCCGACCACAATCTAGATCGCCGCCCCATTCTCCGACCAGACCCTACCGCACCCTAGACCAGACCCCACTACTCCGCCACAACCACTATATAGGTGATCGTTTGCGGGCTTGGACAGGAAACGGGTCGTGCCTATACTTCATTTTTTGTTCAACGGGCTAATTGTAGCTAACCCGAGCCCTTTTATGCGGGCTTGATAAATTGTCCAAGCCCGCTCTATTAACGGGTCAGGCTTGCCCGCGGGCTCACGGGCCTAAAATATTTGTTTTACATATATCTAACGCTAATTATTTTTTTTATCATTTACATATGTTAATATTATTTTGATTTAGTTATCTTAAAAATTTCTTGATCACTAATGATACTAGAAAAAAACATATTTAATTTGTGACATATGTTAGTGAAAAAAGGAAAGAATGAACTTATTTGATACAAGTATAATGATTAAATATAAAATTGAAATAAATAGTTGTAACTAATAATAGGTTAGAGTCTAATATAGTCTCTTTGTGTTTATTTTCTAAAATATACTACATAATCAACTAACTAAAAAATCATTAAACTATAGCTTTTTGAAATAAATGGGCCGGGCGGGCTAGCCCACGGTTCATATTGTCTTGTCCGTGTCCGCCCATTTATATTAACGGGCCGGGCCTAGCCCGCCAAAATTTTCAATTGTTTTCAAAATGGTTGTCCAAGCCCGCTTATAATCTGAGTTCGTGGGTTTTGCCGTGGGTTTTGTGGCTAGACTTGAGGTCGTGAGTTGGGCAGTGGGTTTCGATTCAAGATCTGGGGTCGTGGATTGGGCGGTGGGTTTCGATTCAAGATCTGGGGTCGTGGGTTGGGCGGTGGGTTTCGATTCAAGACCTGGGGTCGTGGGTTTCGTGGTGGGTGTCGGTGGTCTGAGTTCGTGGGTCGGGGCTGGTACGTGAGTGGGGGATGCGTAAATGGGGAATGTGTGGTGGTTTCGGTGGTCTGAGTTCGGTGGTTTCGCGTCCGTGAGTGGGGGGTTGCGTGGTGGTTTCGATGGTCTGAGGTCGGTGGTTTTACGTCAGTGGTGGGGGTTGCGTGGGTGTTAGTGTTTCATGGGGTGGCGTGGTGGTTCTGGGTCAGTGGTGGGGGTTGCGTGGATGTGGGTGTTGGATTAATTATCCCTTCTCTCTCCTCTTAATTTTCAATAATCATGCTTAAGAAGTTTTACCTAAGATTCCGTAAAAAGTACAATTGGTGCAGATAACGGTTTACGGAGGGAGTATATAAAGAGAAATTTTAAAGATTCCCTCTATTCTTAAAAGTTAAAAGATTCTAAATTATATTAACATTATAAAACGGAGGGATTAACATTATAAAACCGAGAGATTAACAGTAATACATGTATCCAATAAACCTTTTTTCGTTTTTCGCACCAGAGATCTTATTGTGTTTATGGACTTCTGATTATAATCAAACGTTGCTTCAACAAAACTACAGTATATATGATTTGGAAAAAAAAAATGAATAAATAATAATGGTTATAAAGTGGTTTATGTGTTTGGCCTATGCTGCGGCATTTAATCTACGGATTATATACCAAATTAAAAGTATATTTTGACCACGTTGTTCCAAAACTCAAATACTCAAATTCTACTTAGCCTTAAACAATTAAATTAAGGAAAAAGATATATGCATGCCTATTAAGAAGCTAAAAGTGGAAATAATTGATAATAAATAAATATTTATTACACCAATTTACTCGTGAATTGTCGATAAATTTCCAACTTAATACTAAAAAAGTAAAAGTATTAATGCTTGACCCTTAAATTCAATATAATTTTACCACCTTAAAAACTATCCATCTCCACTAACTTCGCCAACTACATTTTTTTTTTTTGCAAATATATATCCCGTGTATTAACATGAGTACATTATAATACTTCAAATGCTACATTTGAGAAATGCACTATTTGAAAATTTTAGTCTAAAACATATTGAATTATTTGTCAGTTTAATTAACACTGAAAAGGTCTTAAAAGGCTTAATAACTCTTTCTTACATTTCAAATCATGAGAGTCAGTTTTAGCCTTAATTAACAAGCTTGGACCTTTGGGAAGGGGGGGGGGGGGTTAGGGAGTCTTCACACCAAATATCCCCATATATTTGATCTTAAAACCTCATAATTTAAGAGGCAAACTTTTTTACTACAGTAAGCCTTAATTGATTCCTGCTCATTAGCAATTGACTAATAAACCCCCCTGAAGTTTTCTTTGCATGCTATTTTTTTTTTTAATATAATCTCACAACCTTATAATTGTGAGAGGTAAACTTTCTCACTATATCAAGCTTTACTTGGCTCTCACTCATGAGCAATT